ATAAATGCAAAAAAATTTATGTCTCTTTTGTTGAAAGCTTTAGTCACATGTCTAGCTTTGTCCTGTCAATTTGACATAGTTTGTAGCTTTTATTTCAGTACTTTTTTTATACCAAGCTAATAGACTTGAAACATGAAGGTAAATCTAACTTATTTTATAATATTCTTAGCTACTAATGACTCTCTTTTCACTATCTATGAGTTACGGTCAAATATCAGTGTTGGAGAAAGTGATGTCCTTAACTTTTTAATCTCTCTCGTTGAATTTACTAAGGCATGAAGTTATTATATTAGAATTTGTTCAAGTAATTTAGTTGCGTGAGAAAAATATTGATTATGCACTAAGTCAACTCAGTAATTTTACTTTGATTCAGCTGGGCTTGGATTTAGATCAGAGTTGCGATTTGAGTATTGTCAGTCGAAATATATGAGTCTATACATAAAAAGTTACAATAGAGATGAGCTAAAGATAGTGTTTATAGCAATTTGGAACTGTGGCAATAAAGAGAGAAGCAACAATTTCTAGAATTGATTACGAAGGTCAGCTGGTGGTGGAGGTAGTCGATTCTAAGGTCGTTAGGGTAGGAGAGTGGTGGCCGACTGTGAAGTTTAATATTTTTTAGATTCTTTTATTTTTAATAATAAAAAATGAATATAATTTATAAAAAAATTTAGAAATTTCTTAATGAAAAGTTTTTGATACTGTTAAGAACGATTTTATTTATTAATATATATTTTATTAAATATTACAACTATATATACAAATTTTAGAAGATAGAAAAGAAAATAAATAATTAATTAAAATTAATTACAAAATGATGTAATTTTATCTTTTAACTTGATTTTCTTTATTTTTAAAATTTTAATTTATTTTTTTCTAGTACTTAATTCACTTTCTCTTTAATACTATAATTTTCTTCTTTTTAATATCTTTATTTACTTCTTTTTTAATATAATAATTTTCTTTCTCTTTAACAATTATCCACTCAAAATTTAAAAAATAAATTAACATGATAATATGCATAACAATTATCTATTTAAATTTCTAAAATATAAAAATATAATTAATTTTTAATTAACTATAAATCATACATTCTATATTTTTTAAATAAAAAAATAATTTTGATAATATGTATAACAGTTGTTTATTTAAGATTTTTAAGTATAAAAATAAAATTTAATTTTAAGTAATTACGATTTATATATTTTATAATTAATTTTCACAATTATAAACAGGGTATAAGTAGGACTCTAGCATGCATATATACTTATACACTAAAATCCAAAAGTTACTAAATTTTTGATAGTCGACATA